TCCGTGATTTCAAGGTGAGGTGACTTTATTGAAAGGTACTCCTGAGAAGAAAACCAAGCATTACGTTTGGGATACGGTATGCCTGGATTCCGCAGGGTAAACTGTTTTGCACTTATCAACTTTGTTGATCGGGCGCCTTCTGCCACGAAAGTGCCAAATATAGTCCACTTGGACCTTCCTCTGCCCTCTTCATCACCTATCCTTCATTTTTGTTCATGGATATCCATTTCCGTCTCGAGTTTTGTCTAGAAGGTCTGAATTGTTGAGAATATAACGAGTTTTCTTGGCTCATGTTTAGCCCGATTGGGCTATTATTTCTGACAGACGCCCGTCCACAACACATCCGCTCATCCTCAGATAGGCGTGTAGACGGCAATATACAGATACACAGACACACCACGATGGCCATCATTTCATTCGAGAACTGCGCCCGTCAGTTCAAACCAGCTATGATGCGCGATACCACCATTTCCCCCCAACGATCGATTCGAGGGGTGCGGCCGCACTGTGCTGTGTGTGCTGTGTGTATCTGTGTATTTGTGTGTCTGTGTGTCTGTATGTCATTCTTGTGTGTTCAATGAGGGCTCTTCAAGGCAGCTTCTCTTCGGAACTGCCCTTTGCCATGCCCGGTTTCATTCTTAACTCGCGATTGTTCTGTGCAAAAAGTCCTATGTAAAGTTTGTTGCCTTTGATTCCGGGTTTCGTTACATTATGCGTCGAAAATGTGTCGCTAAAATTACAAATGCGTACCAAAATGGACGAGTTTACCAGTAAAGTATGTCGTCAATCGTTCTAGACCCAATGAACCCAGTGCGTTACAAATTCATGTAACTCTGCCGGCAAATTTTACTTTCTCTCAAGTTTCATCATTGTCTTGTGATATTTTGTGGAGTAACTATGCATTTTTTATCACTAATCATTTTCCCTTGTGTTTGAATCGTCAAAAGTTTGTGTCATAATTAGTGAAGGTTGTTATGCTGTCAGTGAAGCAAACGCCTTCACTGTTCCAGACGGATGGCGAATGCACGGCGCGTCCTGAAGGTCTCGCTCATATTCATTACCTTAAGAGATTTGAAGATGGCGAGATGAGACCTTCAGATGAAAAGATTGGAAACGTATTGATTGGAGAATAAGAGACGTATTGATTGGGAAGACAGGAGGCTAGATTAGGAGTTCTAATCAGAACAACCATCACGCCTGTTCTCCTAATCAATACATATCTTTCCCGCTCCTAATCTCTTTTCCCAGAAGTTGGAGTATAAACGCGGTCAAAGAGTTTATCGCGTTCGCTTAAACCACGCTAATCCTTTGGTTCGGTTCAATAATTTAGCTAAAAGACTTTTCTCATGTCCTATTATAACAACTGTTTCTTTGTTGAATCTTAGGCCTTTAGAAGAGAATTTCCAATACAGACAAATCCAATTTTCCCAAGAGTGGTGAGTTTTACGGCTCAAAACCTATTAACATACATTTTTTCTCATATCCTTTGGTGCCGTAAACGCAGTCTCAGCTGTGCAGCTGTAGCCTAAAAAGTATACGCGGCACAGAGAAACATAGCGGCGTGCACGATCTGCAATTGCGACATCCCAGACACGGGAACCAATGTGCACTTGCTTATTTTTTATTTTTTCTCTACTATTCTTTTTTCTAGTACTGCTTTTTTTTCTACTTCTACTTTCTATTTTCTTCATCTCTTGCAATCTGCTCCTATTACGTAGTTGCTATGTATAACAAGGGGTTCCCACCTTTTACTCCTGTTTTCTTAGCATATTCTGTTACCTGGACGAAGCTCTCGTCCATTTCCTTAGTGTTGTTTTATTGGCAATTCTTCTCCTCTAATCAGGCCATCTAAAAGCTCCTTACAGTTCCTGACAAAAAGATTAACATTCCGTGAAGCAGATAGTTACAAGGAAAGGGTAAAATATAAATTAGCACTCATGATCATCTATTGAACGGCATCCTTTTCAGTGATTTTAATGTAAACATCTGCAATTCACTACCATCTCTCCTAGCGACTACTTTCTGTTCACTACACGCTCTCGCACCACTAACCGCCAGTGCTCGACTGGCACTTGCTTATCGTTCTTTGTCACAGATAACCGTTACATCGTGACGCTACTGTTGGCTTTCTTCATTGTATCTCTTGGGACAAGAATGCCCAGCTCGCTTTTTTTTACGCCACTTTTTTCGGCTAAACATTTAACGTTTTACGGGACGATCAAAGCAAAGCGAGGGGGGTAGGGGGTGGGAGAAGGGAAACGCACTTCTCAATTTTTTGCAGTAGGAAGAAGCTCCGAGGTGGAGATGGACCATCTCGCTTGTGCAGGAAGGAGTCCAAGCAGTGTCAAAATGGAAAAGCTTGCACTTTTCTCCATGTTCTCTTCGCGAAAGGCTAGAGCGCAGACGGGTAGAGAACAGCTGCGGTTTCAGCTTCGAACAGCCGCTAGGAAGAGAATCTGTGAAGAGAGGGGAGAGGTGGTGAAGTGTTAGCGTGGACCACGGCAGTCTCAATTTCGGTGGTGGGAGAGAAGCCTCGTGGTGTAACGACAGTTCGGGGGGGAGAGTTGCTCTGCCTTCGTTGAGTTTCCAATCAGGGTCAACCGTCACGTTCGAACATTTTCAGGATTTTTGCGACCCCCCCTCTGGAGGGGGTCCAGTTGCGACCCCCACCAATACACAGTTGCGACCCCCCAATACAACCAGCCATCCCCCCACCGCGACCTCTCCCTCTTCTATAGTATTTGATTCTGAGACCAGTTGACACAGCCCAAAACTACCTAAAACTCCGAAACTCCGCCTACTTTTTCCCCAAAATATAGCCGTCGAGCGGGGGGGGGGGCATATCGAACGACGGTTTTGGACCCTGTCCAATGCCTTGCCTGCGGTGCGCTGTATTTTCGAAAAACTCGCTTAGTGGCGAAAAAGTTTAATGGTCTCCTGACTCTTCCTAAAAGACACAAGACGACGAGGAGCGCCACGCGCGCATGCCATCCCCTTCGAACTAAGTTAGCCACCAGCTTAACCAAGGTTTTCGCGCGACACTAAGCTGGAGTTATTGAGCTTCTTGAATAATTTGTTGAAAAACCAGCGTTTGGCACGGTTTTGGTCCTCCTCTTATCGGAAATGCCCTGCCTACAATAAATATGATTGTCGAAATTCTTTATATCCAGAAAGTTCAATATCTTACGCTTACGAATATGTCAACATTCTCGAACAACGCAATTTTACACTACGGGTGCAGCCGTCCGTTTGAACTCTTCTCTTGTTACAATCTCTGTTGACCTTCGCCATACGCTCAACAAGCTCATTCAATAATCGTGTCATTTAAGAAAATCACGGAATACGATTTCCACGAACGAAATGAGTGTCTCGGAAGACGAAGATACTTTCGATGAAGACCTCAAACCGGCACCCATCTTCCACAGAGGTCGTTTGCACGAGAGTAGCTCATTCGCGTAGGTCTCTAAATGTTTTCTTTTCCTTTTGTCAGTAACAGAGTATACAAACAAGGTCCATGCCCTGAGAGGGGGCATCATAGGCCCGTATGCTTCCCCGAAGCTAGTGATCCAAAGTTTCCTTTAAATTTATTTGTTTTGAACGATATAGTTTCTTCATTTTCAGTGCATGTTTACTTTACCTACATACATACATTAAATGTAGGCCTTTATCAGGGCAATCCCAGTGGGAAGACAGAGAAAATTTAAAGGGATTTTCGTCCCCCAACCCTTCGGGGAGGATAGCACGGCCCATAGTGCATAAGGGTTTACGGACTACTTGATTTTTCCTCAATGGTCCTGCCGCGATGGCTAGAGCACAGACGATTAGAGAACGGGTGAATGCCCTAGGACTAAGCCTTGGAGAGGAGAGGGACCCGCGAGAGAGCGCAGAGGCGGTTTAAAGGGCTGAGTTCAAGTAGTCCGTCGACCATCAGCTACTGTGAACTGCTCCAGTCCCAATTTTGCTAAGGAATCCTTTAAAGTCACGAACTGTTCCTCAACAAAGGCTCCATTTCTGTGACATTTCCTTGACTTCCTTGCTTTTTTTATGGATTTTTCCTATAAATTAAGTAGATGCATAGGCAAGCAAAGGTTTAGCTAGTAATTAGTTAGTACTAATTTCAATTTGTCGTGATTTTCAATGCATTGGATGTGGTGCCCCCCTCTCAGTACATAGCGAACAGGGAGCCAACAGCACTCAAGAAATACGTCGCTCAATTAAATAGCTCACCACTCTCTCTATATCATGTTCTCCCCGAAAAGCGCAATCCCTTCCCTGTCGAGCAATTTTGATGGATGTACACACATAAGTCATGCGGTCACTATAGTGCTATTAATATACATCACATTTCCCTGAAACGAATCCTAAACGAGTTTTAAAGGGTTATGCACGAGCTACATGCCAAGTTCGGGATTCGGGATTGCTTATTTCAATTGCCAGCCGAAGTCGTAAAATATGATGTTATCAAGTGGATGCGTAGAACGCATTGAACTACACGCCGATTTGGACAGCTGTTGCACATTCTGCCGGCGATTTTGCAACGTTTTTTCCTTGCTTTCGCTTTCATTTTTTATCGTAGTTTGCCCTTTTGTTATTATTCTTCTTATTTCGTGTGTTTTTAGACCAGTTTATCAAAAGTTGGAAGCTCTCAGTTTCTTTTTCTGTAATTTTTCGGCAACCTGCCAGCCAAAACTGCTTTCGTTGCTGCTTGAAAATTCTCACAGTTGCCTGATCTGAGCTTGACATCTCAGAGGTTCTTAGGTTCTTAGCTTTCGTAGTGGCTGAATAAAATAACATAACCCGACATATTTTGGCGAGTAATTCGATTTGAAATCTGCATTGGGAAATTTTCACCATAAAAGGAATAAATCACATCCCTGTTTATCCCATTGCTGACCACGTGATGCACATGGTGCACGCGTGGCGAACGGATGAGGATCATTTTCTAGGTATATTTGGCAGCCTTTCGCGTTACTGAGGCATATTTCCGGTATACCTTCCGGTCACAGGAACCGACACATACATTTCTCTTCCTTACTCACCACATTACTTATGCATCAGCTTTGGTAGGATGCTAATTTAGTGGGGTAGTTGTGTATGTAGAAAAGGCGAAAATATGCGGAAATACCCGAGTACGGCTGTCCACAATATGTTTAATTTTTGTAGCGAGGGAATCCTTTCTTTTCGAATTATTGCCATATTTTATTGCGATGAGACCTTGTACAGGCTGTGGGGGCTCATACAACGAGAATTCATTACCAATAAGGAAGTGACTATAGAGGAGAAAAACGTGATGAGTTTTCTCCTAATGGTTTCTTGACGGCGACTCGTAAATAAGCCCGTTAGAGGCCGATGTCAGACTTTGCGAATCGCGCGATTCGCTAGCGTCTGCGGTCGCGTCGCGGCCAGTGAATCACTCATTGGCTGGTACCGCAACGCGACCGCGGAATCTAGCGAGTCGCGCTATTCGCAAAGTCTGACATCGGCCTGAATCTGTCGTGCAAGCAGCTGGCTGTCTTCCACCCGTCATGCGTGAGCGTGGGTTATTTCCTCAATAAGATACAGTCGGTTAGTTACGGCGAAAATGCTACTATTTTTTACTGGGTCGGTAGTGTAATGGCAAAGCGCTTGGTGTTGTTGCGAAAGTACCGTTCACCACACGCACGGTTCGGGTTTCAAATCTTCCCGTGAACCGTGCCCACACCAAGAAAGCCTTCTCCGGGTTCTCTTAATTGGTGCCACATTCCTCTGGAAAGATAATTTGGCACGACGTATTCACTTTCGGCGGCTACCGCATTTCTCCATATACGTCAGCATGCATTGAAATAAGACCTTGAATTGAAGAGAATGTACTACATACCCTAAAAGGGACAGCTCGAAGCCGAATACCGTTACATCCTTCTCCTTTATTTCCTCTTTACCTCACCAAAATTGTGTAACTAATAAACTGGAGAACCGTGAGATTGAGTGTTTCCAGTATGAAGAAGCAGAGGGGGGGAGTTTACGACTACTGATTTATTCCTCACTGGTCTGCCGCGATGGCCTTAGAGCCAGCACGATAGGTTAAATCTCACTGGGGACTAAGCTTGGGGCATGAGAGGGATCGCGGTGTGTAGTGTTGGGCACGCAGAGTCGACGCGACGAGTCATCGACTCACCAGCGACGTTGACTTGTCATCTAATCGTCAAATACCAGGCCAGCCGAACGGCATCGATTACGCATTCATGGTGTGCGGACAGTAACGATCGGTGCTTGTCGTCAGGAGCGACATGCGTGCGACCAGAGACAGAGGCGGTTTAAGCACTGTGTTCAAAGTAGTCATCAACCGGGGGGGGGGGGGCTTTTGGCTTCCAGTGTGTTCGTTGCGAATTACGATATCCATTTTGGGCAGTCACTCCTTCGAATTTATTGCTAGAGGCCTCGTTTCGTCTTCAAGCGGGTTTTTAACTTTTTTTCATGTTCTACGGCTTTATTGCTGGACGGCGCGAAGAAACAAGGGTAAGGAGGGGATAAGAATTTTCGTCTTACACAGGAGCGCGGTGGGTGAACAAATTCATTCAAGAAGGGGTTTTCGCGTCTTGGGAGGAGCGCACGCATTTGAGCTCCCCTCATTTTTACTAGATTAAACCAAATCATCATCCTTCCGGCTTGCTTTGGGTGCTCAGCTCCAAAATGACCCCTCTTACTTGCACATCGCTAAAATTTGCTCTGATTTGCATTGGCATTTTAGTCGATGGAAAGCATTCCCCTGCAAGAGATTTCAAAGAAATACATATCATGAAAAGCGTCAAGGCGTGGGATATAATTGTGCTGTTTAATTCAGACGCCTTTCGACGGCAATTCGACGATCGCTTCGGCTTCCCAGTCGAACGTCAAGCACCCGTTCCAGCCGTGAGAAAGAAGATTCCGAGTGGGAGAGCATACTCAAGGTTTGAGCTTATATGATTCATTGCTTGACTGTTTTCTTGTATTGAATGTCATTGCATGTGCTTCGTTGATTCATTTATGATTCATTGATTATGTTCCACTCGTATTGAAACTGGGTCGAACTCGTCACCACTTGAATATTTGCTATCTCGGAGGCGCTTCCTGTTATGTCTGGTCAGCTGCGGGTCCCCAATATTTGCTGTGGGACGCGTTTTTGAGTGTGACGGGTGTTTTTTTGTTTTCGGAGATTTGATTAAGTCAACAAGAAAGAGTGATAGTGGAGGTCAGAAGAAAACTAGAAACTCTTTTGAGTGTAATAAAGAATTAGCCTCCAATTTTAAATTCAGTTTTCTCAGTAACGTGATAGGGCTTAGTTTAGCTACATGTATACAAGGGGTAAAGTGAAGGTTGATTATTGTGCTGGGAAGATTTTCACAAACATGGCTCCTCCTGGAAGGGGTCTTCGTACAATTTTTCCTCTTGGAAGAGAGTTGTAGGATTCCAGGGCAGTGTAAAATCTTTTGGCAAATGAATACAAGCGCTATCGCAGTATACGGGGCATTCTTTGGGACTAAGCCTAGAAGAGGGCAGGAACTTTGGAAAATGAAATTGCTCATGCACCCTGGTGTCTCTAACCTCCTGCCTAAGGCTTAGTCCCGATTTCAACAACAAGGAAATGTTTCACGCGATTCTTAATGTACTGCTACCACAATGCCCCCGTATAGTGCGATAGTGCCTAAATACAGTTCTGGAAGTGATCAGGATATTCAGATTTTGCATTTTTTAACGGACTTCACCATCAAAGTTGGGGTCGGAGTCCACGATCCGTCGCGCGAATCGCAAAATCGCAAGTGCCCTTTTCGAACATTTGAAACACTGAATATGAAACAAGTAGAATCATGAACAGTCGTCATTCAGTCATCACTATCAAGCAGAAATGGCGGCTGATTGGAGAGCACCTACAGTATTCATCGGGGCGATTCACGCGAATCGCGCGACGGGTCGCGGACTCTGACACCAGCCTAAAAGGGCAGTTTTACGGTGGAAATCTAATGAAAAGAGAGCAGGGAAATTTTGCTCTTTCGAGCTTGTTGACAAATAGAAAAAAATCGGAATAGTTTACTGAGGTAGCCACTTCATTTTGGGTTCAGTCAGTCCTGTAAATATCACGTGTACCGTGAGCTTTGCCTTCCGCGGACTTTTTTCGTTGAGGATTGGAGACTTTTTTGTGCCGCGTTCAAACAGCTCCCTGCGAAAAGTCCTGCCAGTTCATCGATAATCGTGTTTTCCATGGAGGAGAGGTGCTTACGGCAGGGCTGTTTTTTGATTTTCACTTCTGCTAGAAACAACTCCACTCTACGGCGACGCTTCGCTCTCACATAGCGACCCATATGAATGGCAACCGATGAATTAATGAGGCTGTCGGCAGTTACGACATTGAGGTGGTGTAACACTTACTGCGCAAGCCGGCTGAAAGCAGGCATTGGACAAATGAGTGCGCCTGGACCAGACTTCATTGTCCACGCGTAATCTCCCTCACTAGAGGCGTTATGTGAAGCTGCCAGCTGTGCAAATGGCAGATGTGCCATCCAACGTACAGTCGGTTGAATCACACATTGGCTGGCTGCCAACAGCGTCCGAAAATGTTTTGTTGTGAATTTCCTAAATGTCATGTTCTCTTGACGATTTCATTGACGAGGTGCATATGTGAGCGCGATTTTCACAGCACTTTGCGCTTCTGCGGCTCACTATCGATTTTCCTTCATCTATGGCTGTTTCCTGCAGCAGTAATCGCAGTAAGCCGATGCGGTTGTTCATCTATCTAGACCTTCATCTATCATGTACTCAAACCAATGTCCTTTTTTGATTCTCTGCCTTGAGCTCTTAAAAAGGGGTGTCATCAGAGCAGTCCTGTGCATTCCCTTGTTTTGCGAAAGCTGCACAACCGAATCGTGGTCATTGGAAAGCTGCTATCTCAGACAAGGATTGCAAGCTGTTAAAAACCATTTTAATATATTTTCAGTTTAAGGTTGAATTGTCATTATGAGCGATGAAAAGGTAAGTTACATGGGATTGGTGTGAATGTTATTGTTAAAAGACGTTGAATTTGAGAGATCTGCGTTTCTACGAGTAGGGGACCATACAGGTGCTGAAAACTACAGTACTCCTCGAAATCAGCTCCAACTGCACCAAAGTTTTATCTGTAAATAATCCTATTTTTTGATTATTTTCTGCTTTATGATGTGGTCCTTTATTTCAAAAAGGCTGAAAACGTTATCGTTAAGCGACGTGAAAGAGGAATATTGTGAATTGGCCCTGTTTTTCCACTTTCATTACGAATGCAAATGATATTCCATAGCGATGGTAGATATTTTCTGGCATATAGCCAGCCGGTGCTCGATGGAAACGTAGCTGCCTCGGTTCCAACGTACGGTGCTGTAATGTGCTTTTTTTGCATGAAGATGCAGGTGGTGTAATTTTTTCTAAAAATAATAATTTGTGCATAATTTTTCAGAAGGATGTCTTTCCTCGTTTCACAAAAAATAGTGACACACCGATTGGCTCGAGCACAGTACCATCCAGACTTGATGAGATTCGAGATAATCGCAGGCTAAATCGGATAGATAAGGTGAGGATCGTTTATGTATTTTTTTCTGAAGCTCAATTTTCTGTGATTCTGATTGATTTATTTTCATTTTTTTCACTGATTTGTGACTTGTGGAAACCTCATTTATGACTGCCATCTCCTTTATTTGATTGTGATTTCTGTGACAGTGGATTATGCAAGGGTTATGTCAATGCTCCACCCTCGGTGTAGTGTAAACATCACTGTTGATGGCGGAATTCATCGGAGCTTAGTTAAACATAGGAAGAACTCCACTCACTCTAGCATGAAGTAGTATTATTTGTCACCCTTGCGGCAGCCTCGCTTACTTCTTTTGCCGTATCCGACGCATTTATTCGAGGACTTGAGTGATTTCCGTATTGTTGTGTTTGTGTTTGACAACGTTTTACGTTTGTTGGCATTGCTCTTGATTCCGGTTCACCTCTACAGACAGCTTCCGGCGTGCGCCAGCTTTTCAGAGCAGGGAGCATTCGCTTCCCCTGTCACTAGGCTCCACCTCGGGCGTTGTTTGTTGTTCCTAACCGGGTTCCTCCCCCTTCACCTCCGACCCCTATTTACTCTACCTAGTCTGTCGAATCTCGTCGCTACCGGGAGGCACCTGCTATCTGGCCATATCTGATCAATCGATTCCCACCTCATATCCAATCATTACGCTGTTCTCAACGATCGAACTTCATTCATTTGACTTGTTCATCATGAACACACGACCGAAGCTCGGCAGTATTTACTTCAGTAGTGTGGATTCTGACTCTTCCTCCGCTGATTCTGGATATTCTGATTCTTCAGCAACATCAGATTTTTGGCAAGATGTTCTTACTGTTTGCGATGACGTAAGTACAAATCTTCGCTCTGATTTTTTAATAGTGGCGGCTGTTACTAGGTAGGAAGTTTTTTCCCCATTTTTGAGGAAAGGTGCTGTTTTGTCAGCGAGCAACGAAAACCAGTGTGGCACTAATCCGGGCGACGGCTTCTTCATTCCCTGCTTATTGGCATTTCAAAGTATGGTCGCAAATCTTACTGAAATGTTCTGTATAACTACTTTGTATCGGAGTTTGGGTTTCGACACGTTGCTTCTCGTTGTTCTACAGCGGTACTGTTTGCCATTTTTGGGTCCGATCTGGACTTCTAGCCTTTTGACCCATCGGTAAAACACCAATAGGCCATGACTACTTCCTTCAGTTGCGTTCATTTTTATTCCACCAGTAGCGTTGATTTTCTGTTTGTTATTATTTTTATGACAAACTTTTCTCTTCCGGCAAAACTGTGCTGAAATAGCCGAAATTTTACGACTTGAGTGAAGTTCCTTGCGGCCTTCACATTTTTTTTATTTAGAATATGGGCGGAAGTGGTGTAGTGGCAAGTGGCACGCTTACCACGCGAGCGGTCCGGGGATCAAATCCTGGGTCGTGAGTCGCCCGGGCCAACCAAGCCTTCCATCCCTCCGGGGTCGGTTAATTGGTACCAGACTTGTCTGGGAGGATAAAAAACACTGACTTGTACATCGGCTGGCCCCCGCAAGTCATTGTATAGGCCACATCGCATTCAAACGCCACTACGAATGTACAAATGGAAGTAGAATGCGTGCCGCATCCCAAAAAGGGATTGATCAACGGCAAATGCTTTATCCTTTATCCTTTAAATTCCTCAGGCATATTTGCTAAGGAAACGCTGGAGTATAAGGGATTGTGAATATATTTGTATGTTCTTACTTGTGGTCTAAAACCAGCTCAGTATATTTGCTTTTGAAGTGTCGAGGCGCCAATTAGAAGGTCTCTGGATGCCAGGAAGTCGAGACGAAGATATATTGAAGAGAGTAGAAAAAAGCTGTCATGCAAAAAAAAAAGATGAATTGTATTGTATATCAGGGTAAAGAAAATAGTACCAGAAAACCGATGGCCCCATTAATCGCATGAAAGTACCAAAAGAGTTGTAGGCGTGTGCTTTGTCATAGCAAGGATTTTGACAGTAGCAAAGCGCTTTTATCGTACCGAACTCGAAGAAACTGTAAGAAGTGGAAGTGAGTGGTCGTAATTTTATAATTGTTTTTCATTTGGTCAAGTGTGATACGAGTTTTTGTCTCTGAATGTGGTAACATCGAACGTTCACCATCCGCCTTATAGCCCTCCCCCCCCTCCTTGAGCCTACTCCCTTCGCTTCAGATTCCATTTCTATCCTCCCTAGATGAATCTCTGTGAGCAGAATTTCTATGAAAAGGAGCAGCATGTGTTTTCACCCAGCAGCTTGAGTTCCAAAGGAAACCGTGTCGATCTAGTGCAAACCATCTTTAGCGCCAGCTCCATCAAAGGGGCCGCATTTTTGAAGGAGGTCGTTAGGGTTTTTATAGGGAACTCGCGGTAGGTAACCTAAATATGACTAATGGACGAATTTGCTACAATAGTCAACGTTGACATTTCAATAGTTATAATGTATTCACCCAATGCCGAGCGCTTTCTTCGTTAGCTATTCTTTTTGGATGAATTTAGCTGATTCTCGTTGATGTTCTTGGTTTTAGCGAAATCTCATCAACCGGCAATTTCTCAGCGAAGAAGGCGTTGTGGTGAACAATTTCGACTTAAATGAACAAGGAGCTGTGCGTTTACTCCGCTTACTCACCGTTATCGAACATCTACGACCGGAAATTAGTTCAGCCCCAGTGAGAAGATCATCTTAGTAGTTGATTACTTGTTGTATTGTTTTTTATCTTACACACTACTTTTTTTTTAGATGCTTTCATGACGGTGTTGGTTTTTTAATGCTTTACCACTGGGTTTTGGGTTAGATGCTTTTAATACTTTTTAGATGGCTTTCCGCTTTATGTGGCGCCTCATGTGGCTGCGACATCATGGAAGCACGAAGACGATTCGCTTGCGTACCAAACATTTGCTCGTTTGGGCGTCAAGGTGAGTTCACAAAATTTATCTCAAAGACCTACTTACCTGTTTTCCAAATTTTAATAATATCGAAAGGGTATTTATGGTGTTCTTATGTTGTGGGGGTTTTTGGCGCAGGTTACCTCATGACGTCGCCGGTTCAATGGTCTGCTTCATCGCACACAATTTTGTCTCTCGTGAAGAAACACAAACCACACGCCTACGCAATGCTGAAGCGACGAATTGGCACTGCGGATGACGCGATTCTAGTGAAAGCGGTTTGTGAGCACACCTTCACAGTCGTCGTTGTTTAAGGTCATAACGTTTTTTTGCGCACACGGGCCTTAATAGTGCTGTCACGTGCATTAATTTGGCCGCGACGCACGCACGCCTAGTCATTGAGCCTGTGTGCATAGGATCTTATTTCGATGTATCGGTCAGGTATTGAGGGACACTTTGGTGGTGCTAACTTAGTTGGGGGGGGGGACCGCGGCGGCGCGGCGCTCTGTTCGTCTGCTCCCCTAAGGCTTAGTCCAAGGGGCAGTTACTATTTCGTCGCCACGTGGCAGTTTCGAAATGCGCGCCATCGCGGACTAAGCTTGGAAGGAGCAGACGAACAGAGCGTCGCGCGCCGCCGCGTCCCCCCCCCAACTAAGTTAGCACCCACTTTGTTTCCTGCTTCTGGACCTGTCGCAAGCAGGCCTAGCTACACTCGGGGAAGTAACATTGAGGGCGTCCAAAAGCACACATGATGTCATCATTTTGTGGGGCCCTCGCGGTTTATATGCATTTACGATATGCTTGGCTACAGGAAACATTGTACCGGTCCGCTAAGAGGTTTTTGTTGCAAGTGGATTTTTCAGCTTCGAGACTGGCTTTCATGGATCTTCAGCGGGCTCCCGTTGAGCCATGTGGTGAGAATTATCGACTGCTACCTGGTGGAGGGTCATAAGTTTGTCACCAGAGCGGCAATTGCGATCGTTTATATTTGGGCGAAGTCGTCGAAGGTAGTTGTCTATCCATTCTCCTTAATTTTGCTCCGTTTTCGCTACTTTTGTTTCCGCTAGTCTTCAGGACATTTCTAGAATCGACCGCATGAAGAATTGAATGGCAAATCACAAGAAGAAAGAGTAGAAGCAGTGAAAGCAGAACTTGCCAGTACAGCGGCACAGATGCAGGTGAAGCTTTTTCAGTCTCGGGCTAGATTTTCCTGGCTAAGCTGAGAGCACAGGGTGCGCACACGGCGTGTAGATGGAATAGCTGTCAGTCGCAGGAACTATCGCTCTGATTTACTGTAATTTTGCGTGTATGAGCCAAAAGTATACGCTAGGGGTCCACGTGCGCCAAAATTTCGACATCAATGCTAGCCGTTCAAACCGGTCAATTTTCTGCTCACGCTCACACTCTGTTGCCTATATTGTCGCCTGCAGCAAGCGAGCGCGTCATCTCACAGTTTAGGCAAGAGGGTGCAGACGAGCGGGGAATATGAACGATTTCAAGGACTCTTACAAAATGTCCCGATTTCTGGTGCGCATGAGTCCTCATCGTGTACCTCTAGCTCATTCTCCGAATCACCCATTCGAACCTGTCTCCAGCCAGGTGTAAATTGCAGTTAATTCTATCTCGTTATATCCAAGACAATTTCGCGCCTTTCTAGGGGCCAGATTCAATCCTCCTCAAAGGGGACCCCTTTAAATTTGTTTGTTTTTAACGATATAGTTTCTTCATTTTCAGTGCATGTTTACTTTGACCTACATACATACATTAATGTAGGCCCTTTATCAGGACAGTCCCAGTTGGGAGGACAGGGTCGACGGACTACTTGAACTCAGCCCTTTAACCGCCTCTGCGCTCTCTCGCGGGTCCCTCTCCTCTCCAAGGCTTAGTCCTAGGGCATTCACCCGTTCTCTAATCGTCTGTGCTCTAGCCATCGCGGCAGGACCATTGAGGAAAAATCAAGTAGTCCGTAAACCGGGGAGACAGAAGAAATTTAAAGGAATTTTCGATTCGATTCAATCCCATCTAATCCGGCCCCAGCTCGCGCTTATTTCTCTGATTAGATATCTATGTGAAAAGTGTACACTGAAAATTTTGGCATCTTATATCCGACATGGCCAGACATTGATTAATTAAAGGGCTAAATCTTCTCTTCACAGATATCGACCGAGACCTTTATACAAACTGCGATTCGGATTAGAAATCTACAAAGTTCAACGATCAGCCGGTTGCAGGCGCAGTTTGAGAATAAGGTGAGTAGTACGTAAGCGTCATGTCAACTTTTGCGCTCGTAACGCGGTTAAGCAGCACCGTGAGGAGCTTCGCTCTTCTTAGTAGCATTGTCGACGAGCTCGTTGTTGTATGAAACTCAATCATGTTTAGGTCGGTGTTTTGATGTGTTAACCATAATTGATGTTTTAGGTTCGTGAGGAGGTTACCCGTCGACAATCACAAAAGCGAGCTTTGCCGAGAAGGGCTCGTCATTTGTTCACTCAGCCCTTTTCCTCTGTCATAGTGGACCAAGGTTTGGAATCAGTTTCCCATTCTTTTGTGAACTCTTGAAGTTTAAGGTGCTAACCATCACTGATGTATTATAATGGAGACTGAAAGTAACGTTTTCAGATGCAGCTGCGGAAATTATGTCAGCGCTACCTCCTCGTCTTCAGCTGGCAACTCCACAACTGCTGTTCCGATTAAGCGTTGATGGCGCGAGTTTTACTCACCTTTGGAGCAAGTAAGTAGTAGCCCTGCTGGGTGTATTACTCAGATCGACCCTGCTGAACCATGATGAGTAGTTTCAATAATGCCAACGCCTCCACCGGTTCATAAATTCTTGATGAATGTCTTCTATTATAGAATCAGGCACATTTTTGGGTGCACGGATACCTTTCTAGTTTTCATCAATCTGCACGGCCTTAGTTTATATCATTCCCTTTCTTTCAAAGTTTAGCTGAATGATCCAAAATATAAGTAATGGTACCATTTTTGTCTTTTTTCATTGAATCACTACTGTTTTTCGCATTTTCGTGAGTTCTGATAGTATTTCCATTTATTCTCAGCATTCTTGTGATAAGTAGTATTATTCTGATTATATGATAGCTCATTTCCCTATAATTAATACCGGTATTCTTCTGTTGAGTATGACTCCCATGGAATCTCTCTCGAGTAAAATCGAGATTTCGCCTCCTGACAAGATCGGTCTGAGCTAGTGGGAATGATGACCATTTCCTAACATGTTTTGTTTGTAGGCTTGCAGCAAACTCTTTTTGCTAACGGCAGCTTCAAATTTCACAATATAACTATTACATATTGGTTCCAGAATTGATCACGCGGAACAGACACCTCCTACTCATAAAAACTACGAAAGGAGTGAAGTTTGGTGCTTACTGTAGTTCGTCATGGGCTGAACGGAATGATCGTCGAGAACGGTCCAAGTCAAAGTAAGTTGATTTGTCGCAAGTAGTGATGGATGCCATTAAATAACGAAGGAGATAGTGGAGATTGTTTATCAGCGAAAAGGTCTGCTTTGATATGTTCAGCATTATTATTATGATCATTATTATGATCTAACGATTCTTGACATTTTAGGTACTTTGGCACTGGAGAATCTTTTGTGTGGGTGCTCGAGGAAGAGCTTGAGCTTCCCATAATTTATGGCTGGATTGGTAACAATAACGAGCATCCAGATACCTGCCCACAGATGTTTATGGCGGCTGGCGATAAGTTGCTTGTGGTGAGTGTCTTTACAATGGTTGTCGTTTTGACGTGTCACTGAAATACCTTAGGCCGATGTCAGACTTTGCGAACCGAGCGATTCGCTAGCGTACGCGTTCGCGTTGCCGAACCAG